CCTGTGGATCAAATTCATTTCTGTATTATAATACTTAATTTTCCTGGCACATAAAAAAGCATTCACTTCTCAAATGGTATCAGATAAAAATCCCTAAGTAAGATTTAAAAATGTGCTATTCAAAAAGCACCAGCACAGGCAGATAATGAAATCCTCTACCTACTATCTAATGTCCTTTTATAAACTTATAGGAAGAGGTAGACTAGATCTACCAACAGTTCCTCTGTAGGAATTCTATCAAAATTAAATCACAATACACAGGATTAAATGCATAATGTCAATTTCATTACAATAAAATATATTGTTTTGCTAAGTAAAAACACCAAAATAAATCCTGAAACAAGTGAACTGCCAAGTATCATTTGCTTGTGCAACAACTGATGTTTCACCACCACTAACAATAAAAATATACTGAGGTTATCCTAACGCATCCTTTTAAGAATATCTAGAAAACATTTTTCACATCTTTGTCCTAAATCTACTTCACTGAATAAAAGTAATCAGAACCCAATTAAGAAAGGTGAACCGAGAGGTCAAGGATTGGCAACTACTAAGGAAGACGGCACTAAGCTTTCTATTGACAATTATTCATACCTTGTCCCTGAGAAGGCTGCCACTGCTTCTTTCAGTTCAGCCCACATACACAGCCCTTAAAAGATGGGTCAGCTTCTGCTATAACAAAACACTCCTGGACAGCCACATGTAATGAAATAATAACAGTAACATAACTATAATAAACCAAATTAATATGCCATTAGCAACTGAAAAGAAGGGTAAGCACCCATGACAGAACTGCATAACTTAAAAGTCCAAGAAAAAGTGTTGAAGGCATCAGCCTAAGTCTAACTAATGGCAGCTAAAAAAATTAGGACAGAACTCCTCCTTATAGGTTAATACAAGTGAAAATTAAAAGGAACATTGTTTTTTTCAGAGAAGTTTGTGGTAATATCCCAATCTGGTTTTAAACTCAAATTTAACATAGATGGTACGTCCCACCCCTACCACCACCAAACAGTACTGCAGTACCACCAAGTGGCAGAAGGACACACTACAAGTCTAGGACTGCTAGTTGAATACTTTTCATTACTCAAAATGGCAACTGCTATGAACTAAACTTTGTCTCACCAAAATTCATGTTGAAGGCATAACACTCAATGTGACTGTATTTGGAGACAGGGCCTGTGAGGAGGTGATAAAGGTAAAATGAGGTCATAAGGTTGGGGACCTAATCCAATAGGGCTCATGCCCTTATATGAAGAGGAAGAGACATGGCACACTCTCTGCACTCACAAAGGCACCCAGGAAAGACCACATAAGCACACAGTGAGAAAGCAGCCCCCGCAAGCCAGGATGAGAGCCCTCACCAGGAATCTTACCAGCAGGCACCTTGATCTTGGGACTTCTCAGCCTCTAGAACTAGGAGGGATAAATTTCTGTTGTTTAAGCCACTCAGACTGTGGTATTTCATTATGTCTGCCTGACTGAACTAATAAAGCAATGCTCAACTTTAATCCTAAAACTTTTCTCTTTATAACAGAGGTAACCATCTAAAAATCAGATATAAAAGTCAAATTCTCATCCCAAAATGTACAAAAATTAAAGACAAGTTTTCTTCTGACAAGTTCCTTTATCAACTAAAAGAGGATGTTTCTTAGATCAGAAAGGTTAGAAGGATTAATTCTTATTATCGAAAGGAAAAAATCTTTCCCTGAAATTAAGAGAATATGGTTCCGAAGAATATCTGTGCTCTCCTCAGAGCAATACAAAAACTCTAAAACGGGGGGAAAAAAAATCATGATTCAAATCAGAAAGGTAAATATTATTAGAAAATACATATACTTAAAAATCACAAATTCCTTCCGTTTTCATCTATGTGTTTAGAAATACCATTTACAATATTCCTTGACTGCCTATACTGTAGTAGTCAGGAACACAGACTCCGGAACCAACCGCCAGGGTTTTGCATCCCTGTTCTGCTGCTCACTGTGAGACCTTGGTATGTTACCAAACTGCTCTGTTTCAGTTCCTCTCCTATAAAGTGGAGACGATCATCTTCCGTAATGGCTGTATCCCTCCCCACAAGATTCTCTATAGCATCCTATCATCTACACTCCATTCTCCCACTCCCCCTGCCCTAATAAATTTTATTTACTTTCTTACAAACTATGGTGATCTATAATCATTATTGAAATTAGCACCACATGAATCGGACAATCCTTTACCTTAGTATCCCAGAGCAGAAAACAAACAAGTAAGATAAACTAAAGTGAAAACTGGGTGCCTCAGCTCACAGGTTAACTGCCTCTGCCCCTCTCTCCCATCCCCTCCCCCAATACCTTATTTCTGCATCATCCTCTTTATAATATAGTGTATAAAACTGGTCAGAAGAAAGGTTCTAGTGGTAGATGTAGATAATCCTTTGGGCATGGGATACTTCTCTTCAGTTTTGCAAGTTTAAATATTTGATTTCCTCCAAGTTCCCTCAAAAAGATCCAATTACAGAGACAGCTGATCTCACCAAATTTAGTCCAAATTTAGCCTGTTTCCTAGTTAACATAGTGTCTTTTCTGGACCCAGACAATTACCTTACTGCTATAGGACTAATCTAACTCTATGAACAGAACTACACATCAATTCCTCTAAGTAGGATGCTATGATTTCTATTTTGTCCTTCCTTTTGAGCAAGAGAACCACAAAGTTTGAGGACATAAAAGGGAGACTTTACAATTGCTCCATTTCATCTCCTACCATAGACAAAAAGGAAAGGGAAAGCTTAGAATGTGTGTCAGTTTCTCACCTACTACCTAAACAGCTTTCAATTTTAAGAGGTATGCATAAATAAACCTTCACTTACCTGCAAAAATGGCTTTGTCTATAAGCTGTTCAAAACACTTACTTACATAAGCTGTTGCATACTAAATTTAAAATGCAGCACTTTTAATCATTTTTTAAATCCTACTCCAAATAACCACTAATGGTTTTTCTGTGTTAAATAACTACTAGTAGTTTATAAGAATTTTAATTACTATCGCTCACTAATAATTACATCCAAATTCAAACCAGGTGGTGAACACTGCTGCAGGAAAAAATGAGTCAAAAATAAATAAATAAGGCAACAGTTCCAAATGAGATATGCCACAAAATTCATATTGCCATCTCAAAAATATCTCAAAGTTAACCACTGACACCTTAGATTTTAAAGATACTTCTAGTTATGAACGCTTTAAGTAACTCTTCTTAACAAATGTGTATCTCACAGAGAAATTAAGTGACTTACCCAAAGCCTCTAGGCTACTGACTAACATATATGAGAACTATAACAGAAAAAAAATCTTTCAACTCCTAGACTAGTTTTCTTTCCATTGTATTATGCTTCTTTATAGCTCAACATCTCAAATTTCAAGGGTAAGATGTAATGTGGTAAGTGACAAGGAACTGATAAATAAGAATACAGTCCACAATGTATTACAGGTACTACATAATTAATGCCAAGCAAATGTCTAGACAATAACTTATTAAAGCTCCAAGACTATTATAGGGTAGAGCTCACTGATTAAATTTTTAAATAAATGGAATTTTAATTAAGAATGAGCTTTAGAAATTATCCACTCTACAGAATGGCGAGAATCAAAAAGACAAGAAACGACAAGTGCTGGTGAGGATGTGGAGAAAGAAACCCCATGCATCTGTTGGTGGGAATGCAAACTGGTGCCACCATTGTGCAAAACAGTATGGAGGTTCCTTAAAAAATTAAAAATAATAATACCACATGATCCAGTAATTTCACTACTAGGTATTTATCCAAAGAATACAAAAACACTAATTTGAAAAGGTATATGCACCCCCATGTTTATTATAACACTATATACAACAGCCAAGATATGGAAGCAACCCCAGCACCCACTGACAGATGACTGAATAAAGATATGGTGTGTACACACACACACACACACACGAATATTACTCAGCCATAAAAAAGAATGAGATCTTGCCATTTGCAACAACATGGATAGGATCTAGAAGGTATCATGTTAGGTGAAATAAATCAGACAGAGAAAGACATTACCATATGATTTCACTTACATGTGGAATCTAAAAAAACAAAACAAAAAGCAGAAACAGAGCCATAAATAGAGAACTGATGGTTGCCACAGGGGAGGGGGTTAGGTGATGGGCAAAATGGATGAAGAGGAGTGGGAAGTACAGTACATTCCAATTATGGAATGAATAACTCACAAGGATGAAAGGTAGAGTATACTTAGGGAATATAGCCAATGGTATTTTAATTAACAGTGTATGAAATCAGGTGCTGGATACAGAGCTAGTTGGTGGCAATCCTTCAGGAAAAAAGGTATTTTGAGCTGGGTCTAGATAGGATTTGAATAGGCAGGAAGAAGAGAGAACTTTCCAGTTAGGGAAATAATATAAGCAAAGTTCAGAGGCTGAAACAAAGCAGTCAAATTCAGAGACAGAGAATAAATCCTCTTGACTGAGAATAAAGGCAAATAAATTTAGGGATAGCTAAATTTTGCGTTGGGGATAAGGGAAGGAGTTTCAATACTTAAAAGAATTAAACTTCATCTTATAGGCACTATGAAGCTAGAGAAGGTTCTGAGCAAAAAATGTAAATTTCTTAGGAAAGCCCAAATTGTGTACTTGTCTGGAAGCCAAGACTATAAACATAAAACAAGCACTGTAATTGCCAAAATGTTTTACCAATTATAAATCCATCTAAAAAAAAACAAAGGCAGAGAATATATCATCAAAATAGAAAGGAGTTAGAGATAACAATTAAAAATGGGCAAAAAAGAAAATGGAAACAAACTAAGGGAAGAATGATAGATATGGACAAAAGAATCACTATAAAAGATAAGTTATTTCATGCAGTCAAGTTTTAGAAAGAGGATTAGAGGGTCCAAACAATAAATCTCCATGGCTAAAAAAGCACACTCAAAGCATAATCATCGAATGTTACTAGGTTTCAAACTGCAGTAACTCACCTCTCTAGCAGCACAGTCATGAGGAGCTTCTTCTTTATTTACTTTTCCTTTTGGAAATCCCCAGCCTGATTTTGCTAGATACCCCTGAACCAGTAGTACCTATAAAAACGAGCAGAGGTAAAAATAAAACTTGCCCTCTTTTCCCACACTCCTTTCTAAATGTCAAAGGTGTCTTTCTCCTTACTTCAAGTAACTGTCATCACCAATAATTTTATACAGTACTTGGTTTTAGTATCTTCCAAGAGTCTGACTATACTACTACTAGTGTAGAGAAAGGCATTCTGACCATTTTAAAGTACTTCTTCAACAATTAAATGACTTTTTTTTTCAATAAGTCATACAAGTATAAAATAGTAAGACCCAGAATGCAGACAAAATATGCAAAATTTGGCCTTTTAGCAATAGAAAAGTCTATTTTAAAACCTCAGTTCAGAACAAAACACAAAAATTTCACTAATAAGATGAAAACAGCTGATCATTGCACTAAAAATCTTTTATTACACTCACATTTTCAAGTGTCTCATCAAGAATAATTGCACCATAGGTTGGTACTCCCATTTTATATTCCTTCCATTCATCCAAAATTTTTTCCACATCTTCACCTTGAGGCAGCAAAAATGGACAATGACTGAAGAGTATACATAGTGTTAAGGAAGCTCTTTTCTCTCTAAATACAGCTTGAGTACTTATTATATACAGACAGAAACCTATTTAAATCAACTATGAATTTTATATTAAATTACTCAAGTCTTCACCTAAGTTCTTCCTTGCTTTTTCTCCCACATTTGTTTTCTCCTGAACAAGTCATTGTTAACTCTCTCTCAAAAATAAATAAAATCTTAAAAAAGAAAAAATTACAGAGAAAGATAAACCTGGGCATTAAGGAAAGAACAGCTTCTTTCAAAAGAAACTGGGCATGGCCCCCCCACCCCATACTGGGCAGTGTAAAAACTTATTTTTTAAGTAAATAAAACCTAAACCTGTAAAGTATATGGTCAGGCTTCCAATTCTCCATGTTATCAAATGCCTCATCACTATAACACTGTTAATTATGAAAAATATGAGAAAAATTATAATTTATGAGTGTTTCTCAAACGAAGGACATATTCTTAAGGGTCCTCAAGTCCTCTATGAAAACATATATTCTGTGTTTTTATTTTGATGTTAACCTAAAAACATGTAATATGAGCATATTTTCAATCATCTGGATGACCACATATATCAAGTACTACAACTTGATTTCAGAGACCATACTGATACTAGTACTACTTTAGCTGCTGTGGGCTACCAAAAACAGAAGAAAGCTAATACACAAATGATGCATTAGGGTCAAATGATATCCCAGCACAATATAAAAAAGGTTTCTTAACAGATATAGAAAAGAAAGGTGGTGCAAAAACTGGAAGTACAGGCACATCAAAATATCCTCAAAGAAGCATTATATTCACATTGTGACTGGCAGCTAGTTGGTTTAAAAAAAACCCTATTTTAAGTTCTATAAGCTTTGTATTTAAAATTTTATTTTGGTTTTATATTTGTAGTAAAAACTACAGAGGCCTTCAAAGAGCCCAAAGAAGTCAACCATCTATGACAACATTGTAATTAAGACAGGCACTAGGTTAACCTCAATATAATTAATATAATCTCAATGTAATGCTTTCAACTGGGGAAGAGAGAAAAAAGGAATAAAGTTTGGATACAACATCAACCATTCCATGAAGCCCTACAATTCTCTACGGCTTTGCTAACATTGTGGAAAGGTACTTCCCAATAATAGTCGGGCTTTAAATGTTTACTAAAGGGGTGCCTGGGTGGCTCAGTTGTTAAGCATCTGCCTTCGGCTCGGGTCATGATCTCAGGGTCCTAGGACCAAGCCCCACATCGGGCTCCCTGCTCAGCGGGGAGCCTGCTTCTCCCTCTCTCACTCCCCCTGCTTGTGTTCCCTCTCTTGCTGTGTCTCTGTCAAATAAATAAAATCTTAAAAAAAAAAAAAAAAAGTTTACTAAAACCCCTTATGTGTTTTACAATCATCACAGGTTTTTGTGAATCTACATATAAATTTTAAATAAATGTTTATTTCTTCCATTAAAAGCTTTACCAGGAGTGCCTGGGTGGCTCAGTCGTTAAACATCTGCCTTCGGCTCAGGTCAAGATCCCAGGGTCCTGGGATTGAGCCCCGCATCGGGCTCCCTGCTTGGTGGGAAGCCTGCTTCTCCTTCTCCCACTCTCCCTGCTTGTGTTTCCTCTCGCTGTCTCTGTTTCTCTCTCTCGTCAAATAAATAAATAAATAAATCTTTAAAAAAAAAAAAAAGCTTTACCAGAGGAAAACATAAAAATACACCAGGAGCAGAGATAACTCCTAACAGTTCAGAGAGTAGGATACTTATCCAGTTATTCCTCTTTCTTTTATCTACAATGTTCCTAATAATCTCAAGGTACATCACTGTCTCCACAAAGCAGTGGAGAAAGATTTAACAAGAGAAATTATAAATGAACTGACTTAATTTTGGAAATCATTTACATTCTTCATTTTCCCATTATTTCTACCCGCAAACCACCACAAAATGAGTTGACTGAACCATCCAACTACAGTTCAAGATATACTTGGAATTAACACTGAAAAGAACCTGTTAAATATTTGCTCAAGGGGACGCCAGTGTGGTTCGGTTGGTTAAGCATCTGCCTTCGGATTGGGTGATAATCCCAGCGTCCTGGGATGGAGTCCCGCATCAGGCTCCTTGCTCAGTGGTGAACCTGCATCTCCTGCTGCCTGCCTCTCTCTCTCTGACAAATAAATAAAATCTTAAAAAACAACAACAAAAAAAAAACTTGCTCAAGGCCACACAATTAGCAAGTAACAGAACCCAGTCCACCATGGTATCAATTTCCCCAATGACAACTTTTCAATCATCCTCCATACTTAATAGTACATACAAGTAATTCAATTCAGGGGCGCCTGGGTGGCTCACTCTGAGTGTCTGCCTTCAGCTCAGGTCATGATCCTGGGGTCCTGGGCTAGAGCCCCCCTCCTTGGGCTCCATGCTCAGTGGGGAGCAGGCTTCTCCCTCTTCCTCTGCCTCTCCCCCCTGTTCGTGCTCTCTCTCAGATAAACAAAATCTTAAAAAAAAAAAAGTAATTCAACTCAAACATGGGAATGGAAACTTTTTAAATACCATTTTTTATTTAATGAGTTAAGGTATTTAATTCAAAAAATCCTTTAAGACACACTGATGTTATCATTTCTAATTTTTACTAAAATTCTTGACTATTGTATTTTCTTAAACCCCAAATTATTTTGATTCTTGAATCTGAGTTACTAGGCCTTTACACGGTACAGCTGACACTTGAACAATACGGGTTTGAATTGCATGGGTCCACTTATATGCAGATTTTTTTTCAGTAAGTACAGTACAAAACTGTAAATGTATTTCTTCTTCCTTATGGTTTTAATAACATTTTCTTTTCTCTAGCTTTATTGTGAGAATACAGTATATAATACATGTCACGTGCAAAATAGGAGTTAATCAACTATTTTATTGGTAAGGGTCCTAGTCAACAGAAGACTATTAGCAGTTAAGTTTTGGGGAGTCAAAAGTTATACACACTTTTTATTACAAGGAAGGTCAGGACCCCTAACCCCCATATTGTTTGAGGGTCAACCGTAGCTCTAAAAGATAGGTTACACTGACTAGATAAAGAATTTGAAGCACAAGTCCACTTGTATTATATACATTCTTTAAAAAAAAAAAATCCAGTATTTTTTTTACCTTCTCTTTTTATACTAACATTTTTGCATAAACATGAAAAATCTGCTCTAGGCATAAACAATCATTTAGACAGTAATCTCCCTCCAAATTCCTACCATTATCTTGGATGATACAAATTTCCTCATGGACAACTCATCTCAAGCTCTAGCCTCAGTTCCTTGTATTCCTTGTCCTATCCATTCCCACTTCTCAGCCCAATTCCCAAAGCAACATTCTAGACCTTGCTATCACTGTAACTATTCCAGCAATTTGGTCGGAAACAAAACGTCATGACCATAATCTTCTACTGCATTCTTCTAATTACTCACACTGTACCACCACTCTACATCAATCTTTGTATTCCTTTCTCTGCATTAACACCCTGCTGCTTTTTTTTCTGCCCCAAACAATATGGCCCACCACTTTAATCAACCTCTTAGCAATATCCAAAATCCCTTTGCCCCATTGTTCTCTGAACATAGCTCCCTAGCAAAACTTCAACCCTGCATGCCCAGTTCTATACCCACCTTGCGGAGTACTGAAAACAAATCACAAGACTACACACAACTTATAAAAAAAGAAAATTCTTAACAGAAAAGATCCACAATTTGCCCAAGCTTCCACGGCAAGTAAATGGCAAAGATGGGATGCTAACCCAAGGAATGTGGCTCCAGAACTCATGCTATTAACTTTTACTCTATGCCCTTCAGTACCCTATCATAACTTACCATACTGCACTAACAATTTCCTTTCATCTTCTTGAAAACAGGGACCAAATCCACATTGTTCACTACATAATGCCTGGCATCAAGTAAGCACCCACTTATTTAATGAAATCACATCAGCAATAAAAGCTTTTTCTCCATACAACTGAAATTAAACATAACTAAAACAAAAGTTTATTTTCTTAATAGCAAGGGAAGTTTAAAATTCATGTGCATACACACACAAAATTTTATCCAGAACCCCAAAGTATGTAAAGTTGCTATGGTAGAAGGCTGTCTGTGCAAAATAGATCAAACAGGATCTGCCTGTTTTGATCATGTTTCTATACCTAAATTATAGCTTCTTAAAAGCCAAGTCATCCATGATTTCTCCACAGAAATCTATGACCAAGACTTTAACAAAGATAATGTTCAATAGAACTTCTATTCCCCCTGATTCCTCATATACTTCTTCATATTTAATCAAACAATTGATCATTTCTGCCACTGACATGTCTCTTCAGTCTTTTCTTTGTAGTCCCTCTACTATGGCTTAGGACCTTATTGCTACGATCTCAAGTAATTTGACAGCCCATCCTATGGTTTAACCTATCCTGCCAAGTAAGTCTTCTTGAATACTATTTTCAAATGATTTGCATAATATTCCTCAGCCTTGCTCAAAAATGTTTTATGGCTAACAGTTGTCTAGAACAAACAGTGTTTCAGTCCATTTTCTACAGTGACCTGGGGGGGTGGGGGGGATCCTTATTTCATGGAGCTCAAGGAAAATTATAGGGAGCTGAGTACAAGGGTTGTTTTCATTCTTATTCCAATTCTAGCAGAGTACAGTGAATTTGTGGGTATAACTGCTTTTGAATACATGAAACAATGACCTACAGGATAAAAATCACTTTGGCTCAAGATTTAAGAACCCACAAATCCCCCCTATATACCTGCCATCTCTACTTCCTACTGTATCCCCATAAAAACTGTCTGCTCAATACAAACTAATTTATTTCCCAAGATATCCCTTATCTTTTCCAACTCTCTAATTTTGCTCAATCCTTTTCTTTATGTGGAACATACTCCCCACTCCTCTTTATAAAATCCTGTATTCCCTTACAAATATAGCTTTGCCTAAAAAAAAAATCTCTAAGTTCTAAAAACATTTAATACTAGAATTATTAGCAATTCATCGATTTTTTTTGCCTTGTGACATAGTTTCTTTTATAATCTTAAATTTTGGGGGCACCTGGGTGGCTCAGTCGGTTGAGCATCCAACTCTTGATTTTTAGGTCAGGTCATGGGATCCAGCTAGAGTTGAGCCCCGTGTCAGGCTCTGCACTCAGCAGGGAGTCCGCTTAAGATTTCCCCCCCTCTCCTTCTGCCCCTCCCCCACTCATGCACGCTAATAAATCTTTAAAAATAATTATAATAATAATCTTAAATTTCCAAGTGTATCCTTTATAACTGACAAGCTTGTCTTATTTGTAAAGAGGAAAAAAAACTTCAAAAGCAAAGACTTCTTTGTATTTGCCACAAAACTAAAAACACTGCTTTTAACATATGAAGTATTCAATAATTATTTAAGAATTTCTATCCCAGAAAGGTAGTGATCTGATTAAAGATCTGATTAAATGGAACAGCAAGAAGAAAGTAAAAATAACAGATCAGTTCTAGAAATAGGCTAGTTATTTCTGAAAGAGAAAATAAAATTTAATTCTAATCATCAGTGCATATTCAAGGGGTCCTCTACATAAAAATAAAAATAGTATTAAGTTCTACCTACTACTCATATATGACAATTTTTAGAAATCAAGTATGTCTACTTAATTAAGTTTTAAATCTCAAAGATGATCAAAAGGAAATCTGTGCTAAAATATGTTATTAGCAATAATGAAAGACAGTCATTATAATTATAAAAAGGATATCAGCTTTAGCAAAGTCTCTTATCCCACACTGAGGTAATCCTGGTGTGTTCTGCATGTAGAAATCCAAGTAAAACCAATGGGCAAGTTCAATCTGAAAACACACTCGGATAGCATTGTCTCTTTCCTCGCTGGGAATATGCAAAATAAATCGGCTGTCAAAGACAAAAAACATGTTAAAATTACATTTACAAATGGTAATGATTTTAACCTACTTAACTGCTTTACCCCTGACCCACCAACATAAAAAAGGGACCAAGAGCAGAGCTGATCAAGGAAGCAAAATCTGGGGAAAATTACTACAGGAAGAGGAGTCTGGAAGGCAGCTATGCTCACCACTATGACACCAATGCTGCACAGGGAAGAGGAGGCTGGGAAAACAGTTTACCACAGGTATCTCCCCTATAATCAAATTTTTTTAAGAAGCCTTCTAAGAATATATACAAATATATTCATTCATTCAAACAGGAAAGATGTTAGCTGCTTAATCTCCACATTTAGAGTATTACAAAGAGACATTAAAGAAATCAACTGTTCATTAATAGACTAGACTTCTCAAATAACCTCATCTGCAGAACCTGAGTTCAAAATAAAGTATATTCACTTTTTAAAATCCTAAATTGTCTTTTCCAAGTACATTTGAAGGGAGCTGGAGAAATAGTTTATATATATAGTATAAATGTACACTCTTTATTATTTGTATGTGATTGAGATAACGAACCCCTCTTTGTGCAACAAGTCCGAATTTAAAAATCTAAGTGAACGGGATTTTCAGCACTCATTAAGCAACTACCAATTGCTTCTTCCACTGCATAGCCTATTTTGGTAATGACCTCAAGAGACAGACTGAACTACATAAAAGAAATCCACTGGTTTTTTGAGTTATTTTAAAAAAATTAAAAATTAGTATCACCCAGCTTGATCACTCACACTATTCACTAGCAAATGTTCTTGGTGGTTTCCAAGTTTCAAATCAACCTCAAAAACATGCTTTTAAATTATAAAAATGTAACATTCCAATAGGGGCATGAATATGTAAATGGTAAGACAAATAGGTACAATAACCTACTTTCAGTATAGAAAAACTATGGGGAAAGGGAGCTTAAACACCACATATACTAAGAATAAAATGTGTAACATGAAACTCTGATGGCATTAGCTAAGATACAAAAATCAAAACTCTTCTACATGGCATTCGAGATCCAGTCCCTGCTCACCTGCACAACCTCTAAGATTGCTCAATGAGTTCTTTATACCCAGTGATACCAAATTCTTGGAAATGTCCTAAACTATCGTCCATATACTATATATACTTCCTTTCCCTTGTCCATCTAGCAAATTCCTAATTTGTCCTTCATGACTAACACTACTCTCCTGTGTAGATACACCAGCCTCCTCTGAACAGATTTACATACTCTCTCAGACTCCCACTCCTTTACAATCATGTGGCTTTTACTATTATTGTCCACAAACTCCTCCAAATTAGTTCATTGAGATAATGTACTCTATCTTTGTATATTTTTATTCCCATAGTCTAGCAAACTGTTTGACATATACATTGAAAGTGACACACTGATAGTCATAATTTATCTTTTAAATGCTTACATAGGTTCCTAGTCTGGTTAGATGAAACAAACACTCCACTCTCTCCCTCCCATAAAATGCAGCTATTAAAACCTTAACAAAATGCATAGAGCAGCTATCTGAGGACTGTGAAAAGTAAACAGTAGCAGGAAGACTGGGGAAGACAGTATTCGAAGTGAATTTACCATTTTTCCACCCTCCAGTGTCGCCTAGCTGGACTGGGGTTTGGAGGTGAGCACCAGCAGGGACAGAGAGCCCCAGAAACCTTCTAGTTTTGCCTCAAGGGTTGAGAGAGGAGTCTAAGCACATCTCCTAAGACTTGGAGATAGTGGGGAAAATTCTTCCTTTCTTTTCTCCTTTCTCCCATGCCCCAGCCCCCCAGCAGTACCATCATGGTTAGAGGTGGCTGCAACAGTGGCTTTAACAGAGACCCACAGAGGCTAAAACTCTAAGGGACAGGAAACTTCCTCTTGAATCATAAGAACTGTGTGGTCCCAAGAGAGTAGGGCCAATCTCCACTGCTTTTATTCTTCTAACCTCCAGGTGCTCGGTCTCAGTGAACACGTGAAGTGTGTGCCAGAGTGGCTCTCTGGCTCTAGAACCCTAAAGGACAGACCTAAAGAGCCAATCAGTAGCAGGAAGATAGCAAAAGAGAAGCAGCTCAGGAAAATGGTCCTGGGAAATTATTTATGAGCTAAGGCTCAACCCCAAGCTACACAAGTTCGGATTAGACTACGAACAACACACCACGAACACTGTGAGCTGAACTCTGAGACAGACCAATGCCCAAGTCTCAGAATGGCCAGTGGGTGATAAAACAGAACAGCAATACAAAAAAACTAACCTTCTTTTGTCTGATTTTATTTTACTTAACACATCTCTAAAATAAACTCTGGTATTTGTTTTCTCAGTTTGGGGCATTATTTCCATTATGGAATTCACTCTATTCCCACTCCCATTCTACACAGCCTTCTCATCTCTCCACCCACCCAACAAAATTCTATCAGTTTTGGTTAGGTTATCCACTTCAGCACCACTGACATTTTGAAGAAGGTACCTATGTTGAGAGGAGCTTTCCTGTGTACTGGATGATGTCCAGCAGCAACCCTAGCTTCTACCTATTAGATGTCAACAGCACTCCCCACCAAGGTGTAACAACAAAAAGATCTCCAGATATTACCAAATGTTCCCTGAGGGGAGCAAAAATCACTCCCACTGATAACCACAGAGTTAGATCAGCATTCAGTCTTTACATTACTCTGACTCTGTAAATGCAATTCACAACTAAGCTACATAGTAAGCTAGGATTACTTTTCCTTTCCTGAACAATCCTTCGTTCTTCCCATAATTAATAGATGTCTTATCATTGCATTTACTTTGTGTTCTCTATCATACCTGTCACTAATTCAATCTTCCACTAGTTTCCTAAATTTTTTTCTCAGATATTAATTCAAACACACCATTTCATCTTGAAGAATATCCTTAAGCCTTCTGATCTGTTCCAATCTGAGGTAGTTGTCATCTACACCTGATACACACCTATCATCCTATGCTGTCCTTTCACCGGCATCCCATGGTTCCCTAGGCCTCTATCCTATTAGATTTCATGTTTCTTGTATCCTTTCTTTCTCCTCAATTTTCTTTCTTCTTTCCTTTGAAGTATATCCTCCCAAACCTCCTGGAGGAAAAATGCAAGGGAGATAAATACGGATACATTCTGTATCTCAAAGTATCTTTATCCTCATATTTAACAATTAGGCTAGATAAAGAATTCTAGGTTGAAAATCATTTTCCTTCATAATTTTGAAGACAGTGCTGTCTCCTGCCAGCCTCCAATTTTGATACTGACTGAAGCCATTCGGATTCCTTTGGCGTATTTTTTTCAGTCTGGAAGATTTCAGGTTTTTCCTTCTGTCCCCAGTGTTCTGAAATTTCCCAGTTGTCTATTTTTTATCTACTGCACTGGCCATTCAATGGATCTTGCCTATTTGGAAACTCACATCCCTCAGTGTTAAAGGACCTCATGGACTGATCCTCATGATTCTTTACTCTCCTCTGGTATTTCCTACCTCTGATTCCTCCCCTCACCCCCACCTTCTGAGAAACATTCTCAACTTTATTTTGCAAACCATCTATTAAGATTTTTGGTTTTGCTCTCATATTTTTAATTTCCAAATGCTAGTTTTAACTGTTTAGATTATGCTTTTATAGATTATCCTGTTATTCAATGATTGTAAAACTCTACCTCTCTAAGGAGATCAATATGGGTTTTTTTTTTTTTAAGTTTTCTCTACCTGCATAGTTTGATTCTTCCCAGTTCCTCTTTTTTCTTTTAGTTTTAAGCTCTACCTTTCATGTTAAGAGGCCTATTCAGATGTTCACATTTAAGTGACAGACCACAAAGCTATTTAGGAAGGTTGTCAAACTATCGGCACCATTTATTAATTTTTTTTAAAGATTTTATTTATTTATTTGCCAGGGAGAGCGAGCGAGCGAGCGAGAGAGAGAGAGAGCAAGAGAGCACAGCTGGGGGAGCAGCAGGCAGAGGGAGAGGTAGAAGTGGACTCCCCGCTGAGCAGGGAGCCTGATGCAGGGCTGGATCCCAGGACCTTGGGATCATGACCTGAGCCAAAGGCAGATGCTTAATCTACTGAGCCACCCAGGCGTCCCTATCAGGAACCATTTAAAGTAAGTTATCAGGCTGAGCCATTTAACTGAGGAACCACCAATGTCAGTATCTTTAGATCTATCCTCATGAGTTAGTCCGATCACCTAAAGATTCTTCCCATCTTGGACCTGGAGGGTAAAGGCCAAGCTCTGCCACGTTCTAGGAGCTGAGCAAGGGAAGAAGGCTGAGGGTTTTCAGTATGTTTACAGGATATATAAATTCAGTTCTGCCATTTTTCAATATGCTCTTATTCTAGAGTAGATTGAC